TGGATTATCTCAGCAAAGGAGAAGTGCTCACTAACACAGATTTAGACAGATTTGTGAACACTATTTGTGAGGAAATGGTCTTTTGTGTGTATAGAAAATGTTTTAGATCTTTGAGTTCAGCTCATGAAAAATGGGAGCAAAAACAAAAGTGTTGAGTTTATATTTTTGTTCAGTGTAGTTTCATGTCTCATCTCACAGTTTTCTCTTTCTTTAAATCTCTCTTTAACGCCCAATCAGCACCTTTAAGTAGCTTTTTGTAATTGTTTTCAATGAGATTGAAGCATTTTGCCTGCTGCCTTCGCGTTGCTGAGTGCTTCACGTTTTTTCTCGTCATGCACCTTGTGTTTTTGCAGGAGTGGCCTGAACGCCTCGAGTTGAAAAAACATTAACTTAGAGCAGATTTTTTTTATTGACAGATGAATTAAGAGGCAGTGACAAGTGTTAGCCTACATGATTTATGATAAGCTAGCTCTCTTTAGCATCGCCCATGGCACACTGCAAGACATTTCTGAACAAACTGCAGCCTCAACTACTTTCTAACATTTTACCAGCTGTAATTAGGCCAGATGACTCACACCAAACTGTCGAACTGTCCCCAGTTCATCCTAAAATAAGCACTGAACCAACCATCATCTAGGTGAAACCCCTGGAACAGCTTGTGGTACTCTCCATGATTCCTCCTCTTTCTGAGGGTCTCATGTGCCCACACATCTCTCTGTTTTTCTGTGACCAATGTGCTGTATGGGAACAGCCTCTTACCCTCAGTCAGAGCCAGAACAAGTGCCCTTTGCTGGTTCATTCTTTAAATGCAGATTTCAAGGTAGAGCTGGGTTTACTTCACAATGACATCACAGTTAAAGGTCCAGTGTGTAGGATTAGGGGATATATTAGCAGAAATGGAATATAATAAGTCTGTTTTCTTTAGTGTGTAATCACCAAGAATCGTTGTATTTTCGTTACCTTAGAGTGAGTTGTTTATATCTACATAGGGAGCATGTCCTCGTCTACAGAGATAACTATGTTGCACCGCCATGTTTCTACAGTAGCCCTGACCGGACAAACCAAACACTGGCTCTAGAGAGGGACATTTGCCATTTCGCTCAGGCCGCTGTAGTTAGTAGCTCATCTCCAACAAGCAGCATCGGGAAAAAACGGATTTGGAATGTGGAACTGTTTTATTTAGTGTTTTTATCGTTTTAAATTTCTGCGCCTATTTGTTTTTAAGAGGAAGAGACCTCTGTGGATAATTTGTTTTCTGGTAAAAACCTCCTGAACATCTGGATCAGAAAAAAGGTTAGCACACAATAGCTTGCGGTGGGCGAGCTGCCCTTCTGCCCAACAGCGTCAAATATACACTGATTTGTAATGTGAAACTGCTTTATTCAGTGTCTCTATCAGTTTTAATCACCTGGTGTGTTTGTTTTGGAGAGGAAGAGACCTCAGTGGATAATTCAGCTCACGGTTAAAAACCTCCTGAACAATAAACACTGAAGGAATTCTAACCAGGAGAAGTTTCAACTGGTTGCAATCTGCAGTCCTCACCAATAAACACCACTAAAGTCTCCTAAATCTTACACACTGATACTTTAAGGTGATTTGGTACTTGACTAACAAAAAAAAAAGACGAGAAAAATTGCTCTGTCTGCTCGGGGTCTAACTCTCCTTGTGTGTCTTCCCCCTCTCCAGTGTCAGCTCTGCGTCCGGCCTGTCAGCAGGTTTACAACCTGTTCCATCCAGCCGACCCCTCGGCCTCCCGCCTCGAGCCCCTCCTGGACAAACGGTTCTACCTGCTGCCTCCCTTTAGCGTCCCCCGTTACCAGCGCTTTCCTCTGGGTGACGGACACTCTGCTCTCCTGGGTCGGTCAAACATACAGTGTATCATGAATCATTTCACTGCACTGCTGTCCTACATGTAGATGACTCTTTGTTGTATCTCTTTCTTCTTCTTCTTCTCTAGTTGACACAGTGCAGAGTAACCCTCAGCTTCTGATGGAGTCAGCTGGTGCAGCTTCCCACCGCTGTCCGGACAGCACCGTCAACGAGACCTCCATCCCTGTACCTGTCCTCAACTGGCAGCTCCACACAGAGAGTGAGCATCAGTTAGCTTTGTCTGTCGATCCTGCTGCTCTCTCCTTCTCTTTTCTCTTGTGTTTGTTTTTCTGATGGTGCCTTAGTTTTAAAGGGAAAGTCTATTGTTTCTGGCCATCATTTATATCGGTTATGATATGATTGCACTTACCAAGTAAAAGAAATACCCTCACCTATGTACTATGACACCTGTAAGGCTTGATAATTAGTGGCAAGACTCCAGGAGGTCGCTGCACACAGTCAAAAATAGTCCCGTCTATAACCAGTCAAACCACGATGTGGTGTTTCTACTTTCATTTCGATTAAAAAAACAACAGTAACATTTACTTTGTTAGCTTTGGGGAAAAGGTTAGCAGTTCCCCCCTGTGTCCAGTCTTATGCTAAGCTAAGCTAACCAGCTGCTGGCTGTAGCTTCATGTTTATCGCACAGATGTGAGTGTGGTATCAATTAGAGCCCTACACAGGACTGTTTTCTTAATCCTGTTCCTGCTCACCCGCGCTGGATTTCTAACCTCCTGCTCCCTCAGAGTGTGTTATATATTCCCACAGGGTGTGTGTCAGCACCTGCCTGCACCCACTAATATTCTGACCATAAATGCCTGCACAATTAATTATGAATAGACTGAGTCTTCGTCCCTCAGGGAGAACACAATATATTACTGTGGAATTAAATATATAAGCATACTTGTTGGTTATAAATAGCAAAATTACCTTCTACTGCATAACATTTATAATTACACTTATTCTAGTGTCTCTGTGGGATTCAGTGTTATCATTATTATCTGTAATATTCCTGAGAAATTCCTCCAAATGTCCGACTTACTGTACTTAATGTCCTTTATCTTATTCTCCATTTCACTTGTTGACGTCTCCATCGTTCATGTTAATTAATCTCTGGGTCCCACACATTTTTTTGATCACCTGCTCCCGCCCGCAGTAAAAATAAAACTGCCTGTTCCCACAAGATTTGTGTTCGTTCCAAAGGGACAATCCCAATGCAGTCCACTAGTATCAATCTTCTCACGTAGCTCTTGGCAAAAAAAACCCCACTAGTAAGTGTATTAAAATAATGTCAAACTTGTTTGACAAAGGCAAAACTCAAACAGTGAGACGATCAGATGTTAAACAAATATATCAATCAAATGTTGCGACATCAAGGCAAATAGTAAAATTATTTTTTTGGCTTTTTGGCCTTTATTTGAGAGGACAGTAACAGTTGGAAGGGGGAAAGAGAGGGGATGACATTCAGAAAGGGCTGCAGGTTGGAATCAAACCTGCAAGGACGTATCCTTTGCACATGGGGAGCCTGCTCTACCAGGTGAGCTACTCAGATATTAAAATTATTACCCAAACTTCCAGTTTAACATACTTCTGTGCAAACATAATTTTTCCTGCCCAGTTAGGGATTATTGTGGACAGTCCAGGTACACGTACTTTCAGTTTTACCTCCAAATAAACTCTTGTTTACAACCTCGCTGACTGCAAGTGTCAGACTGTGTTGTAGCATCTGTCATGTTTGCAGATCTCAGCAATTATTCTGCTGATGCTCAGCTCTGTTAGCAGCTCTCATTAAAAGTTTTACTTTATTACATCAAGACATTGGCTGCTCGTCAGCTTCAAAGGAATCATAGCGACTCAGGTGTGTCTTTATGATCAAGGTAGTGATTCACAGGCAGAAATCACAGTTACAGGCTTTGTGTTCAGCACCTGGCCATGAAAGAGCTCTGGAAATAAATCCCAAATCATATTTTTTTAACTGGAATATTTCTTGTTTATCTCTGCAGTGAAGACTTTAACTCTTCTCGTCTTTCTCTGCAGCGGAATCTTCTCACTCACATATTTTTGTGGACAGCCCGCACCCATCGTCCACGTCTCCAGGGGTCCCTCACCTCCGCTGCACCCGCCGGGCCAGCGAGGTCAGCATAGCCAGCCAGGTGTCAGGCTTAGCTGACTCCTACACCGCCTCCAACATCGCCACCAGTGAGTTGACCTCTGATCTCGAGTGTGTGACACCAAGTTTGGGTGACAGTGTACATGTTGACATTCTCATCTCCTCCCTCCAAACGTCCACTCAGCACACAAACGTGGAGTCAGCCACAGTAAAAGGTCCCGCCTGCTGTCCCAGCTGGCTCTGCCCTACAATAAGTTGGCCTCTCGGAGCCCGTCACTGCGCTCGGGAAAGACAATCCGTCGGGTTTTCCCGAAACCCAACGGCATGGATTCTGAGCAGAGCTCGGACATTAGCTCTGACCTCACTGATGTCACGTCTGACATCTCAGACATCAGCTCAGTCCCCCCGTCACCGCGGGTGCTGAAGAACATAGAGCAAGGTACCCTGGGTAACCTGAGGGAAGGATGCTAGGATCCATCCTCATTGCCTGTGCTCTTTCCTTCCTCCTCCTCAGTAGTCCTGTTTCCAAAAACACTCTTCAGCTCAGTTTCATGAGAACCACTTCTGTGTTGTTTTTTTTTGTCAAGACCACAAGAAAAAAACTGTGACGAGGTTCTTACAGAGTCTGAGCTGTTGTTTCCTCGGCTGTGTGCTTTTTAAAACCTTTTTACAACTCCTCACTGTCCGTTTTATCCGTAGTTTGGAGTCTAGTGCCTCCTAGTGCAACCCTCGAAACTATCTTTAACTTCCTCCAGTTTCCGATAAACCTAAACTTTACATCTCTGCATGAGCAGGATGTAGACACACACACACACACACACACACCACAAACAAAGACAAGGAATAAAGATAGCAAATGCACTGATACCTGACCTCACTCTGTCTCTCTTTGTTCCATCCCGGCTGTAGTTGCTTCTCGGTGGTGGGGCAGTAAGAGGATGGACTTCGCCCTGTACTGCCCCGATGCCCTGACAGCGTTTCCCACAGTCGCTTTGCCTCATCTCTTCCACGCCTCCTACTGGGAGTCCACAGACGTCGTGTCCTTCTTACTCAGACAGGTTCGTACAGTCTTTCTATTAATATTAATGATTTTATTTCATTGTATCTTTAAATTGAAAGTGTGTGTTTATGATGAGGATCCTCCACTTTGGTCAGAGACCACCTTGGTTTGGTGTCAAACAGGGAGAGACTAAAAAGTTTCTGGGCTGTGTACAGTTTTGGCTGAAGTGCCTCCACCCTGGAAATTTAAAAAAAGTTTTTAGGGGGTTAAAATGAATTATCCTCCCCAGGTGATGAGACACGAGAACTCCAGTATTTTGGAGCTAGATGGTAAAGAAGTGTCTGAATTCACTCCATCCAAACCTCGAGAGAAGTGGCTCCGCAAGAGGACTCATGTTAAAATCAGGGTAAGAGCTCTCTTTGTTTTTTACTGCATTCACTACAGAACGTGTTTTGGACCGAAAGGAAATGCAGAACCTTTTAATTTTGAAACACCGGTTTACTCATTGTGGTTTAGTCAGCATCCACAATACTTTCTTTGGGATTACTTCTGTACGAGTCTCTACATTGTTGTTGCTTTGTGATCAATCTGGGTCAGAACACTTGATTGCTCAGAGGAGCAGCTTCTGCAGAAGCACCTGGTTCGACCACGATGGACCACAGTGGTTTCAAGGACTCATGTTGTTCCAAAGTTGTATAATTGCCTAGAGTTGGTTGGTGTTCTCACGGCAGCATTTACAAGAGGACCAGATCAAATGCCTTGTGTGAGAAAGCTGCTCTTGATTGGTCAGAATTTCCATGTGGGAAAAATCCAGGAAGTAAAGCAAACGTTGAAGAAGAGTACACTTGCAAGATAAATGTGACACTTTCTAATGTCACAATGGAGGGACAACTACGCAGGTTGATTTTAGC